GAAACGAGAGAAATTTATGGAAAGAAAAATGTTAAGATAATGATAGAGAGTAACTTGAGAGGGAGAGAGAGAGAGAGAGAGGGAGGTAGAAGGAGAGAAAGTGAGAAAGAAAGAATGATAGAAGAGTGAGCGAGAGAATGAGAGAGGAAGAAAAAGAAAAAGAGAGAATGAAAGAGAAAGGAAATGATACTAAGAGACATTTATAGAAGAAAAATATGGAGAATGAGAGAGTGAGAATGAAATGAATAAATCGTCGTTTATTGACCTGAAGCTTGCATAGGACCATAGGGTCTTCTCTTACAGCAGTCAGGAGACTGTTTTAATTAATTAAAATTAAAAATGTGTAAATTAAATTTTATTGAAATTAATTTAATTCTAATTTAACTCTTCTAGAAACTAGGTATATACATAAAAATACAAATTAATGATACAATCCGTAAAGGAATTAATGATGATACGGAAAAATATAACCTCTAATTATCCTAGTCAAAACATAACATAAAATGACATATCACATGCCATGTCGTATGTAACATAACTTGTAACTTAACTCTTTAACTAATTCTCAGAGAGAGAGAGAGAGAGAGAGAGAGAGAGAGAGAGAGAGAGAGAAAGAGAAAGAGAAAGAGAGAAAGAATGAGGGTGGGAGAGAGACATTGATTTATTAATGCTAGATTTATAAATAATCTAAGTGATTCGGTCAAATTTGACCACTCTTACATCCAACAACAAGGAGAGTGGGGACAGAAGAGAGAGAAAGGGAAAGAGAGAGCGACATGTGTAAATTTGAGTGATTTTGGTCATATATTGAAACTTTTACTAACATTTATCGATCTTGCAAAACTTTAGATTGTTCAAAGAAATAATTATTTATTAATTAACAATATACAAATTATTCTTCCTCCTGAAAATACATGATTAGCATCAAAATATCCACAAATTTTACTAGGTAAAAATAAGTTAAGTTATTGAGGGAATACTTAACAAAAAAAACTTTACAAAGATGCAAAAATCTTTGATAAATTTCCTGGAAAATCAGAAAATTCATTTAAAATGTTATTGTCAGAGTTATTTAAATTCAATATGGGGAAAAAGCAGGACTTTTATGTGGGCTATGGATTGAAATGGAGTGTTCAGGATTTACGTCAACAATGTTACATTTATTCCCGAGTTTATAATTCGACTGGCCTTCCTTTTTTTGTACAATTTCCATAGTGTTTGATGGATTACTTGTACTTTTTGTTGGACGGATTCCTTTGTCCTCCTTACCGAAGATGTATGATATGTAGGCAAGTCTTTTGTTTTTGAAACTTTTTCTTGTAAGTAGTCACTGTAATAGTGAAACATTTTCAGTGGCATTTTTTCCCGGCGGCAAAAATAGATTTATCCTTGTCTGATAATTTTTTTGACTTGAAAGGACTCAAGAACAATAGGTATGAACAGAAAAAACTATTAAAGTGAAACGAGAATTTAGTTTATCTCTGAAAAGGAAATTCACAAGTACAAAGACAGTGTACTAGGACAAGGTTTACACAGGCCCATTAGACGATGCCGGGATCTGTTAGTATAATGGAAGTTGTATATTTAAATTTTAAATTCGGCGGATCACTCTCCCTTCGTTGAGGTGTCATTCTGTCTGACCGTGATGAATACATTGAATGTCTGCCTTCCAGTGAATCATATTCCCGTCACCTCCTTGAATCGATCATTGCTCTCATTGTATTGAAATATGCATTTGAATAAAAATCGTGAATTTGGCGTGGGTTTGAAACCGCATTTACAAGGTTCAATTGCTTGCGTTTCTTTGCTTGTTCAATTTTTGATTCCTTCCGTCCAAATGGACTGAAATTACACGCCAATCTTCCAAGCCGGTATATCCGTGATTACACTACTTTTTTTCAAGAATAACCAGCAACTAGTTCAGTTATCTTTATTAACTTGTAATGTTTAGTATGAAGATTATAGACTACCCGTTTAATTTTGTTTTGGTTTTACTTAACTCCATAAAAATTCAGTCTGTCAAAATCAGATAAGCACTACTCTACTATATTCTTTTTCCTGTGATAAATTCTATCTATAACCAACATTCATCCTGACCACCCAATTTCATCGTGTTATCATCGGAACATCCTTAGAGCTAAGCAGTTCGGCCTTTCAAAAAAGCCTCCAATATAGAAGAAATGAAAAAAAACTTTACGTGTAACTACTACCAAAGCATGATTAATAATTGCATTTATTATATTCTTTAAGTACTTAAATTATTATGGTGTATTGTATATTATTATGCACAAAGTAAGTTCTTTTCAGGATGTGTTTCTTAATAGACTTAATTCGGTTTAACGAGATGATGAAAATTTAATTTTAGATGCATGTAATCTATAACATTGTTAGTAAATGCTGTAATTTTATGATTTCGTTCTTTATTGATTTATTACTGTTAAATGAACATAAATTTTGTTAAAGTTATTATTACTGTTCCATATTCAGCTTAAATTTTTTTATTATATACATGTGATCATCTAGAAGCGCATGTAAGTAAGTTCAAATTGTAAAATTTTCGTTTCTGGTTGAGTGGCTGGCACTGCAAGAATGGCACAATTCAACACAGAAGGCAAACACTTTGAGCCCTGAAGATGATGTCAATAAAGATCGAATCGTTGGCACGATAAAGAAAACGTTTTTCTGAAACCTACATCACACCAGACCGCATCTCACGATTTCTGAATAATTAGACATTTGTAAAAATAAATCGTTTATCAAATCTCTCTGAGAATGATAGTAAGGGGAGGAAGAGAGAGAGAGAGAGAGAGAGAGGGAGGGAGAAGGGGAGAGAGAGAGAGAGAGAGAGAGAGAGAGAGAGAATGATAGAGGAAGGAAATGATACTGAGAGACATTTACAGAAGAAAAATTAAAGAGAATGAGAAAGAGAAAAGAAATGAAACGAGAGAAATTTATGGAAAGAAAAATGTTAAGATAATGATAGAGAGTAACTTGAGAGGGAGAGAGAGAGAGAGAGAGGGAGGTAGAAGGAGAGAAAGTGAGAAAGAAAGAATGATAGAAGAGTGAGCGAGAGAATGAGAGAGGAAGAAAAAGAAAAAGAGAGAATGAAAGAGAAAGGAAATGATACTAAGAGACATTTATAGAAGAAAAATATGGAGAATGAGAGAGTGAGAATGAAATGAATAAATCGTCGTTTATTGACCTGAAGCTTGCATAGGACCATAGGGTCTTCTCTTACAGCAGTCAGGAGACTGTTTTAATTAATTAAAATTAAAAATGTGTAAATTAAATTTTATTGAAATTAATTTAATTCTAATTTAACTCTTCTAGAAACTAGGTATATACATAAAAATACAAATTAATGATACAATCCGTAAAGGAATTAATGATGATACGGAAAAATATAACCTCTAATTATCCTAGTCAAAACATAACATAAAATGACATATCACATGCCATGTCGTATGTAACATAACTTGTAACTTAACTCTTTAACTAATTCTCAGAGAGAGAGAGAGAGAGAGAGAGAGAGAGAGAGAGAGAGAGAGAGAGAGAGAGAGAGAGANCTTCCTTCCGCCCTCTCACATTCTCTCTCTCCCTCACTCACACACACTCTCTCTCTCTCTCCCCCTCTCTCTCTCCATCCCTCCATCCCTCCCCCCTCCCCACAAGAAAAAAATATATATACGTCATGACATACTTATTTGCCGTTGTATATAATGTTTTGTCTAGGATAATTAGAAGTTGTATTTTTACATAACATCATTAATTCCTTTACAGACCGCGTTTCATTAATTTGTATTTTTATGTATATACCTAGTTCCTAGAACAATTACTATATTAAAACACCGATTATTAATTTTTGTCGCGTTGTTTTCGTATCGCGTCAAGTGAACGAGACGTGTCGCATCTCCTCGACTCGGAAACCGTGGGCCGCGGATGGACAGCTTATGGGTAAACAGAACGCGTTTGCGTGAGCAGGGGAACTGGTTCAATTCAGAGATGAGTCTCAATGTGTCAGTGGATTCACGGCCGTCCTCTTCACACAACCATCCGCTAATAAATGTCCACGACCTCGGCCTCTTCTCCCCTAACGTGTTTCGGCCGGTTCCGACGGCAATTTCGTTCAAAACGTGACCCTACCAAACATTTTTTCGAACTATAGGACGAAAAACTGGAATAGTAAGGCGAAGTCTGGAAGAAAGAGGTTATCAATTAAGAATTGAAGTTTTTTGCTTATTTTAATAAAGGGTTAAATTTTATTTATTCAGCTTAATTTGTTGTTTGAATTTTACGACGAAAGGGATTTTAATATGATTCAGAATCTTGACACACTTTAGATTTTATTTTATTTTTGATTTCTAGCAAAACCATCACTTATACTTTCTGTAATTTAGAAAAGCTTCATAAATGAGTTGCCTAGCTACTGCAAAGTTGCACTTGAAACTTGGGTCAGTAGTAACTATTTTGAAGTCATTGGTTATCAATATCATGATGTAATTATATATACATATATTATAATATAATAATTACATTATAATATAATTATTATATTATAATTATATATACTGCATAACTAATGTTATCGATTCATTTCAGATCAATATGAATTAAATGCTATGCTTTGCTATGCAATATTGCTATGTTTAATTAAGATGATGGTTTATTTAGTAATAAAAGCCTTTAAAAACATTAAAATTTGGGAGGTATTGCTATCTTTGTTTGCCAATTTTTGTAACACAAGTTTTCTTAATAGAGCTGTTTCCCTTCAATCTCATTTGAACATTTTTTTTATGTTTGTTACATGACGATAGTCTGAGTCAATGATGTTACATATGACAAAAATCTATGCACCAACAAGGATTCTCATTGCTTGAAATTATAATTGCCATTAGAATAACAGCGTAGATTGCGGCGTTAATATTAAGGGACAGCAGGATATTTTTCCAGGAAATACTATTTTTTGGCTTTAAAGCATTAATTTGTTTTTTGTATTTCAGGTTGGGGAGAGCGATTGTTTTTATTTGGTGCATAGTTCTTGTGAGATCAGACGGCTGTCCTGAGTACTGTGCTTGCTCCGACAACGAAAGATCTGCAGACTGCAACATTTACGCGTTGTCGAACGTTAAAAGGCCCGTCGACTTGGACGAGGTCAAATTTGTCTCAAGCCAACCATTAGTTTTAACATCGACGATATTCAAGCATTTTCGCTCGGTGAAAGTGCTGAATCTGAGTTACATGAAAATCAGGACAGTTCCCACAGATTCTTTCCACGGGATGAAGTACCTGACAGAAATCGACTTGTCTTACAACAGAATCAAGAGGGTCAACGGCTCGAGTTACAAAAACTTGAAATCTCTTAAGACCTTGAGGTTGCGTGGCAATCCCTTGCAGTTGACCCTGTCCGATGTTATTGTTTCAAAAAGTCTGGAAGAACTGGACTTGGGCCAGTGTAGCCTTACCGATCTGAAACCTGGAGTTTTTAAACAAGTACCTTCACTGACCGATCTCTCGCTGGATGGTAATTTGTTAACGACGTTGGAAAACTCGCTATTTCCAAAAGGCTTGAGATTTTTGAATTTGGCGAGAAACAAAATTTCTATAGTGCCAACTAAAGTTCTGGTTTCATTACATAATTTGGCTGAAGTTGACGTGAGTGAAAATCCCATAAACTGTACTTGCAGTTTACTTTTAATGGATGATTTATTTGCCGGAGAAGGAAAACTGCTGTTGCACAATGCTACATGTTTCAGCCCGCCTAGATATGAAGGAAAACGGTTGCACGAACTGTATGAAAACAACGTTTGCAGGAGTGAGCTTATGCCCGATACTAACACCAACAGCATTCTAAGGTCAACCAAGGACCGCTCTTGGCAGTCCTTAATGCAAGGAGGAGATTTTGCAGACTTTCAAGCTGATCAGCCTCCCCGCGAAAGTGACAGTGGAGAAACCCAGAGCAACGAGTCGCAAAATAATAAAATTCAGGGAGGTCACTTGGGTCTACATGACCCCGATAAAACTGAAAATGATGACTATGATGAAGGTACGTATACAACGGCCCACGATTACGACGGTCACGAACAATGGACAGGTTCAGATGAGGGCGAGGGTTCCGGTGAGGGATATTATAATCCCAAATTCCCACATTTTGAAGAAACAGAAGATCAAGCGTCATCCACAAAAAAATATCTGGACTTCACGGAGGGATGGGAAATAAGGGTCGAATCATCGACGGAACCGTCGCCTTCAGTAAACATTGAAACTTCTTCGACGGAACCGACATCTTCAGTAAGCGTTGAAACTTCTTCGACGGGTTCGACATCATTAGCCGAAGAAATATCTCCATCGACAGAAGAGACTACGTCAGCTGCCGTTGAAATGTCTTCTTCTACCGAAACTATATCGTCATCATCAATTGACACTTCTTCTTCGGCGGAAACGTCATCAGTAGCCGTTGAAATGACCTCATCGACTGAGGAGACATCATCAGCGACCGCCGAAACTTATTCTTCAACGGAAACATCAACATTAGCAGCCGTCGAAATGTCTTCATCGACCGAAGAGACATCATCAGCTACCGTCGAAATTTCTTCTTCTCCGGAAGCGTCGACATTAGGTTCAGTCCAAACCTCTTCTTCGACGGAACAAGCATCATCACCAGCCGTTGAAACGTCTTCTTCGACCGAACAAACTTCATCAAGCGACGTCGAAATGTCATCGACGACGGAAGAGACTTCTTCAGCAGGCGTCGTACAGGTCGAAACACAAGGTACGACGCCGACAGATTCGAATTATTTCAGCCAGTGGGATTCCGACGAGACTACAGAAGCTTCTACAGAAGCTGTGCTTGTCGTAGAACCGGAGTTCAAAAAAACAGTAGAACTGCCGAATGAAAATGAAGTGTTCATCGAGACGAAAGAAGGATTCAGCAAAGAGGAGAAGAGAGAAGACAAAGGTTTAGAAATGTACGCTATTTATGCCATAACAGCACTGATCGTCGCCGTCATCCTACTTCTCGTCCTAGTCTCCGTGTGCAGAAGGAAGAGGGGTAAAAGCTATAAAGTGAGCTTGCCGGCCGACCCGGAGGCCAATTCGGCGACAGAAATGCAAGACATGCTCCTCCCCAAGCCCCCAGAAAACGGGATCAAAGTCGTCCCTAAAAACTATTCGAATGGAAACACCGCCAACGGAAAATCGGAACAGAAAGAGGAAGAAAGGCCGGTCTTGGCGGAACCGGAGCACGATCCCGAAAACGACTGGGAAGACAAGGTGGGACCGATCGAAGCCGTGACTGCCAGGATGTGCGTCCTCGCCAGGCCACAGACACCGATTTATATCCACAAGTCCCTCAACTAGTCGTCCTAGTGCCATCCTTAACGGACAATAAATACTTAATTTATTTTTCAAACAATAAAAGGAATATTTATAAGCTTAGTCCTTCATGGTACGATATACGTATCATGTTAAATGTCTTCTTATAATTAGTAGTAATTATCCGGTTGGACTGGATTTCGCAAGAAAAAAAATCTATTATAAAATTCATCATAGGGAAATATTGTCTGCTTCTATATTTTTGTAACATAAAAATTTAGTCTTATTTTCTGTAAATTTGTTAATAATTTGCGTTATTGTTACCAAATTTTTTTCTTTGCATTTTTTTTAGTAATAAATTATTGTTGATTTCCATATTTTATTTGATTACCATTTCCTCAAATTGAGGAAATATCTTTGCAATGTTTTTGACATTGTAAATTATGACATCTATAATATATAAGTTTTGTTTATCTTTATTCGATATTTTACATCTAAATTTGTATAAATGACACTTTTCTATATATATAGTATGTTGTTTGGAAATAATGTTAGTGTATTTTTTTCTCCTTACGTTAATAGTTGAATATTTGAGGAAAAATAATTATCTTTTAACTATCATTTAAAGTTATTGAGTTTACATTTTAGTTTAATGTTAATGTTATGAAATGTATAAATTATTATTAAAGAGATGAAAACATTAAAAAAGTAGCTTGTCAGATCAAGCTAGAACAGAATATTGTGATAATACTTGAGACTTATAATACATATGAATACTCCTATGTATGTTAATAAAAATAATTCTCTCAGTTTTTACAATTATTGATCTTAAATGTCCTTTTTATACAGTCATTTTTTGTCATGTGGAAAACAGGTAAGTTTTGGAAATTACAAAACTGGTCCGAAGCGCTTTGAAGTATGATAAATATTACTTTAATTTAATAATAATTTATTCATATGCTACATATTTTATTAGCAAGAATCAGTTCTTAGAATAAGTTAGTTCAGCATAAATCTAGAAGGTCCTTGAAAGTCAATCTATTTTTTCTGTCTCTTTGAACAAGGATGTGAAAATTGCTGAATACTTTCTTACCAATCCGTCCTGAATTTATTTCAAACAACATGATTTTCTCCAATAATACTTATCATTCTGATTTTGAGTAAAATAGAGCACTGTTTTATAAACAGGTCAGAAAATTAATTACTGTCTATCATAAATGATAGACGTTGAAATAAGCATACCACTGTAGAAAGTTGAAGAAAAAAAAGAGTAAGAGCATAGTAGAGTTAATTTTGTTGATTTGCGCATAAAACATAGAGACATTCAATTGGAATATAGAACTACAATACATCAATAAAAGCCAGAAACAAAGGTAAAAGGTATACAAAAGAACTTAGAGTTTAGTCCAAACTGAAGCATATTCAAATTGGAGTGAGTCAATAAAAATGACCTTTAAAAATAGTTAATTTCCTATTTATTTAAAAAATCCTTCTATGCTTTCCAATGTTATTGTTTTCTTATTCCATATATGTATTTAGTTAGTAGCCATAATTGACCATTAATTATTTTAATCAATTAGACTTTTAATCTAAGGTTATGGTTGAGATGAAAAAGTAAGTGTAATAAGCAGGATTCAAACCCACAACCTTCGGGTCAATATGCCGCTGCTCTCACCACTTGAGCTATTCTCTCAGAGAGTGCTCAGAACAACAAATGGTTAGAGCAGTGGCACATTAAGCCGAAGGTCGTGGGTTCGAATCTCGCTGATACTTGTATTTTCATCTTAACCAAGGCCTTAGATTCAAAATATAAATAATTTGAAAAAAGTTATTGTTAGATTGATCTAACCATTTGACTATTGTAAATGAATTAGTAAACATTACATCTCATGAATTTTACCAAATTATGTTTAACAATTAATCTACCATAAAATCCACATAAATTGTGTAATCGAGAAATCCGGCTTTATTCAAGTGATTTGAGAATTTCATTTTGAAAACAAAAGTTGTACTTTTTGAAAAAAATCCTTTGCAACTCCAAGCTAAGTTGTAAGTAAACACGCTAATCCCTACATCTAATTCCATCTCTCAGTTACATTTTAACTAAGCTTTTAACCTATTTTAACGTCATCAGCAAGGCAAAACAATCTTAAACACATCTACAAATTTAGATAATTAAGTTTTTAAAATATGGTTTCAAATTTCTTTGAAGACCGAGTTAGTCCCAAACATTGCCAAGGACTGTAACCTAACCTGTACCTATACTTTGTTACAGTCCACTCATGGAAGGAAATTTACAGAGCTTCAGCGAAAAAGAAACTTCTAAGAATGCCCACAACCAAAGACACTCTTAAAAACGTGGTTTACCCCCATACAATGAAAAATGAAAACTACTCTACTACGTGCCATCTAAGGTTCAACCACAATAGGGAACAACACTTTATCAATGCCAAACAAGAGCATTCCAGGACTCCAACTAAAGTTTTTTGGAGTGCCCCAGCGAGATGGACATCTACACAGATGGAAAGCAACGGGGAAAAACCTGCCAACTTACTCGTATTCTTCATCACCCAACTTACCGAAACATCTATAGGTATACAGAAATAAATAAAATAGAAATATACATTTATTGTAAATATGTTAATGTATGATAATATGGTAATGAACCTTGTCAGGCTAATTTATTAAATAAAGGCCACGAAAAAAAATCGTCAAGTCGCTTAAAAGTTGTCAATCTAGGTGCACACAGACTCTGAACCTCTAGAAACATTATGTTTTATAAGATGAAATGCTGATCAAGAATCTCCAGACTACACTAAAGCCTTATGAGATCTCAAATTGCTTAAAATGAGAAATTAATTTAAAAAAAAAAGGAATCATAAAAAGGAATGCGGAGGCAGAAAAATATTTCTACAATGGACAATGGCCAAATGGAATTAGTAGAATGTGTTCATGGTAATGGCAGTTTAAAAAATAGGTGAATTTATGTGGCTTCCTAACTTATCAAGTAATTAAGTAAAACTTACTGTTTGATATCACCTACCATCCTGGTCTGCCTATCCTTGCTGATTTTTGTTAGTTCAGGCACATATTCACCATCTTCATTGTTTGGGTGGTATTTGGGAATCACAAATTCAATATACAAATATCACTCAAACACTGAACATGGTGAAATGCCAAAACACATCTGAACCAACAAAAATAGAGCGATCGATAATTATCAAACAATTAATTGGTTGATCATCCTGTCGATCATCAGAAGGAAATTCCACAATTAAGTAAAAGTAATCCCAACCAAGGGGTAAGAATCGAAACTATGCATGTCTAATACTCAACTCTGACTTTCCACCTTCACGAAGCTTTTGCCAGTGTACCCTGATAAACAAAATGACAGAAAGATGGGTATGGAGGAACATTGAGCTGGGCCTGTCACTTCCTAACTCTACACCCCCACCTTACCTTTCTTCCCATCCTAATCTCACAATCTAAGGTGTTATGTGACCCATGCCAATGGATGGATCATACAACGGATCTGTACAAATAACAGAGCCTTAAGGGTACCAGGCGACTCCCTTGAGTAATCAACCTTAATCCAGAAAGAGGGCTCCTCTGGTCCTGGCCTTTTTGTGATCCCTCATACTCATGGGAATCACATCTGGATCTTTATGGACAAAAAGAAAAAATCACAGGGACATGCAAAGGAAGATTCCAAACACTCACTTATGGCAATTTACCCAGACAAAGAGATAACAGCCGATCAGGCACGGCCGTCCAGCAGACTATCCTAGCTGAGGTTTGGAGCTGCAAAAACTCCAAAGTACATTGAAATTGGGGCTGCCCTGGTAACCTACGAGAACCAAAGAGCCAGGAATGGCTCATGAAAACAATACCTACTATCCACCAGTGGGAAGGGGCAAACCTCAAGGTAGGCCACTATAGAAAAATTATAAAAACCACGAGTGGCCATGTGAGTGTCAAAATCTGATCGTCTAGGCACTACAGACACTACCACTATTCTTGAGAATAAATGGGCTAATGAAACCCCAAAACCCAGGTATTAGAATAGGTTATGTTTCATAAGTAGGTTTAAATCATCTTTAATATGAATGTGTGCTACACTGGCATAAAACAAAAACTATGGAGATTACCCAATTGGGTGAATGTATTTATTTGTGTGAGTGGTTAAGTGTGCATGGACAATTATCCACAATCCAATTTGTACAGAATATTGAACACTCATAGACCTGTCAAACCAGTTAGGTTAACTTGGACTAGTGAACGCATGATTTTTACTGTGTGTGAATTATTGGTGCAAATGAAGGAAGAAAGGAACCAGGTGACTCCCTTGAGTAATCAACCTTAATCCAGAGAGAGAGGGCTCCTCCGGTCCAGGCCTTTTTGTGATCCCTCATACTCATGGGAATCACATGGATAGACAAAACGAAAAAATCACAGGAACATGCAAAGAAAAACGCCTTGACAGGGTCCCAACCAATACTTAACTTTGTTAATGTTTTAAATATGTATGGGTATTTTAATTGATTTAGGATATTTTAATTATGTGTGAAAAGTTAAAACATCAAACATAGGGATAATAAAAATAAAGTGAGGATCGGGCAATAACACCAGCTGCTAGCCAGCCCCCCCCCAAAAAAAAAAAAAATCATTTATGCATTTAGGAGGACCATATTAATTATTTTAATTAATTATAGTTTTTATCTAAGGCCTAGGGTGAGATGAAAAATCTAGTGTCATGAATGGGATTCAAACCCACAACCTTCAGCTCAATACACCACTGCTCTAACCACTTGAGCTATCGTGACTTTGATTATTGATAAAACTCAAGTGATTAGATCAGCGGTGTATTGAAACGAAGGTCGTTGGTTCGAATCCCACTAGTGACATTAGCTTTTTATCTCAACCAAAACCTTAGATAAACAGTATAATTAATTAAATTGATTGATAAATTGAATATAGATCATTGTGAAGTCGATTTAAGAAGTTTTGAAAAATGGTTTTACAAAAAGGCACAGATTTCCCTGAATTATTTTGAATTATTTATGATGTGTTTGTACTTAGTATTTTTTCATTACACTTACTGTACTGCTTCATATATTTTTGCATTTCTATTTTTCAGGGGATTGCTAGCCATCTTTTGGTTTTGTTAGTTCTTGCGAAGAGGTATTGTTCTGCAAATGTTTAACAGCGTGCAGGATTAGCTGATTCATCGTTGCTATTTTAATGCGAGGACGTTTTTACACATAACCATTGTTTATTGAATTTATTTCACGCATAAATGTTTTAACCAATAATAGATTCCAACTGTCCTCAAGTTGAATGAATGTAATTTTTGGTGTTTTATCATAAATTATTATTACATAAACATTGACAAAATTTCTAGGCAATTTAAAAACATGATATTTGATTGCTTACTTAGAAGCTTGTTACTTTTACTTCAACTTTTACTTGTTGTTGAATTACTTGAACAATTAGGAAAATACATATATTTGCATCTTTTTTTAGTGTCTAAACCACAAACACATCTTCTTTATGCTATTTAGATATTGTCCATTTTAGAAACACCTTGTTAAATCTGCTTTTCACGGTTAAGTACTATGCCAAATCTGCTGTCTTGTCTTATTTGTCATTGTATTCTTTGACAAATTATCAACATCTAACATATTTTAGTGGAATATATAATTTATATCAGCATGGTTGTATTCAAACTTTTTGTAATAAAGGACCTAAATGTATTATTCAAATTAGTCTTATTGGCACTTGGACAGCATTATATGACATGACTATGGGTGATTCTGAGG